GTCTCATCACTAGTGTCTCTTTTTTTGCAGTATGTGTAGGCTGAGAATCTAAGTTCTGCTCTTGTCTGCTCAGCAATTCCACCTTTAAGTCATTTTTTTTCCCACATTTCACCATTAGCTGTTAGGAGGAGCTGAGCCACACCTTCCACACTTTATTTAGAAATCTCTTCAGCTAGGGGAGCCTGGGTGGCTCAGTCAGTTGAGCCTCCAACTTCGGCTCAGGTCATGATCTCACAGTTTGTGGGTTCAAGCCCTGTGTTGGGCTCTGTGCTAACAGCTCAGAGCCTGGAGCCTGCTTCAGATTCTGTGTCTTCCTCTCTTCCTGACCCTCCCCTGCTTACGCTCTGTCTCTCCCTCTCTCTCTCTCTCAAAAAATGAATAAACATTTAAAAATTTAAAGAAAAAGAAATTTCTTTAGCTAAACATCCAGTTTCATCACCTGCAAGGTCTACATTTCATGAAATATCAGTACACAAACACAATTCAGCCAAGTTCTTTGCCACTTTACAGCAAGGATCACTTTCCTTCAGCGTTCAACAAGAAGCTCTTCATTTCTGTGTGCCATCACCAGAATGGCCTTCACTATCCATATATCTACCATTTATGACCACTAGGGGTTCTCTAAGAAGATGGAGGCTTTCTCTATAGCTCTCTTGTTTTCTTTCTGAACTCTTACCAGAATTATTTTTTAAAGGTTCATTTGTGGAAATGTAGGCATCTCATTTTCTAGCATGCATCTCAAAACTCTTCTAGCCTCAACCCATTGCCCGTTTCCAAAGCCACTTCCACATTTTTAGGTATTTATTACAGCAGTGTCCCATTTCTTGGTACCAATTCTGACTTAGTCTATTTGGGCTGCCTTAGACTGGGTGGATTAAACAACAAATATTTCTTTCTTACAGTTCTGGAGACTGGGAAGTCCAAGAACAAGGCACAGGCAGATTTTGTGTTTGCTGAGAACCCTTTTTCTGTTTCACAGACCATCATCTTCTCACTGTGTCCTCACATGCAGAAAGACAGCAAGAGAACTCTCTGGGGTCTCTTTTACAAAGGCACAATCCCGTTCATGAAGGCTGTATCCTATGACCTTAACACTCCCCAAAGCCCTACCTCCCCATACCACCACAGGGTTAGTAATTCAACATATGAATTTGGAGGAACACAAACATTCAGACCATACCAGCCTCCTTCCCATCACTTGGTATTACCAGTCTTCTAAATTTTAGTCATTCTTCACAGTGTGTGGTGGTATCATATTATGATTTTAATTTCTATTTATATTATTTTAGTTTGCCCTGAATAACTTTCTTATTGTGCAGATCTGCTTGTGAAGAATTCTCATGGTTTTTGTTTGTCTGAAGTCTTCGTCTTTAGTTTTAAGAGAGGGGAAAGGTAATTTGGGGCCTCAGTTCCTCTTACCTACTTCTCACTAAGCAGAGCTCCTATGCATCTCTGCCACATGGTTAAGAAGTTTGTGCAAAGCCCCAGATGCACTCCCTGTCCTTAGAGGCTTCTTGGAGAATCTGGCTGGGAAGTCCTAATTACTTTGATCTCTGTGTTAGTGAATATAAGGTAGGATCTATGTGGGTTTGCAAGTGGGAGAGGGTATGAAAAAAAGAAAAGTGTGGAGTTTGGGTGGTAGGATGAGTGTGTTCATAAAACAACAGTGACTTCTTTTGTCTGTGCTCTCCTAATGGTTCTGGGACTGGGAATAATACAATTATTCTTTATCCCTTTTGTTTTGGGGTTTTCCTTGAAGTCTAATTATAGGTCAGACTGTTATTGTCTAGAATTGGGGAATCAATATCATTTCACTATTATAAAATAACATGCAAAGAGCTGGAAACTACTCCACCTGAACCTTAGGCCTCTTTTATTTGACTCCCACCGACAACCCTAATCACTTTAACAACTGAACTACTTCAATACCAGAGGAGAAATAAAGGGGAGCAGATGAGAACAAGGCAGTAGGTCACCTAAAAACACCAATCTCAAACACTTCTGGTGCTGGCCCTGGGACCCCATGCCCTGGGGAGGGAAAGAGGTGTTAGGGCTGCAGCAAGAAGCTGAGATTTGGCAAAGCAGCAGAGAGCCCAACCTTTATGAATCTCCCGCCTCTCACAATTGCAACACGTAGCTCACGTTGGGCGATTAGATCCCTCTGCCTGCCCCATCATGGCACTGGAGAAGGTGCAGGGCAGTGGCTCAGGCCCTAGTTAGTAACCCCACGCTCCCGAAGTACAGTTAAGCTTTCATCAGCTAATGTGGGTGGTCAGTTTGTAGCTGGAACTCCATCCACTAGGAATGCCAGGAAGCGCGGGGCAATAGGTATCCTGGATTTGTCCCCGGAGAGCTAGTTGCCTTTGGGGCCCTCTGCTGATATGCACCTTGCTTTTGTGCAGGAGACACTCCCACCTCGCTCTACACGCTCTTTCCTGCCTCTTGGCGGTGTTCGATGTGCGGGCCAGCTTCTTGGGTTTACTTTTCCTGGCACTGCGAGACAGCCTGGTCTCCAACCAAGAATGGGGTGGAGTTTACTCCAATTCCGCTGAAGCACACCTACTCCAGGACCAGTCTGGGCCTGGAGCGCCCTCTGGCGGTGCTGGGTGCCGGGCCTAGACCTCCGCGCACAGCGCCAGCCTTTGGGTTTGGTCTTCTGAATGCGCTGGACAGCGCCTGCCCGATGGTGGAGCTCTGAAAACCTTTCTGCCTTGATTATTACCTCACCCCTCTCCAGGTCATACACGGGGAGGCGCGACGCAGCCTTAGACAGCTGCTAGGATGGGCGTGGTGGGCGTCCAGGGAGAACCAGCGTGCTGCTAAGCATAGCTTCGTCAGTGTGGACATGTAGTTGCTGGGCCTGGAGTCATACCTGTCATTTTTCTCTCAACTGACCACTGCCAAGAGGGCTTGCTTGACCTCTTGGTGTTCCCCAGCCTCATCACCATCATACCTGAGTCACTTCTTTTCCTGGACATTGGAGCATGAGGGGTGTGGCTGTCGGGGGGAGGGGGGGGGGGGGGGTCTCCCAGAGTAGAAGGCTATCTTTACTGCGAGGAGTGTGCATGGGAGAAATTCCAGAAACTTTCACTTTTTGCTGATGTCATAATCTCTGGACCCAAAGGTAGAGGAATCAGCATGGTTTGGATATGGGTGAGATGGGGTTGAGCCCTGAAAATTGTGGAGACTTTCCATGGTCTCAGCCTCCAAACACAACTCACAGGAAAAGTCTGGATTGGGCAGTGGTGATGTCCATACTCAGAGAATTTCTACTGGGTGCCAGACAGGGCACAGGATTCAAGTGTGGCCGGGACAAATCACTGACCTTCTCTGGCCTTCCCAGGTATGCGTGGACCTTCTGGAATGGCTCTGGTATGTATGCCAGAGAATGCTTCTGAGTGTTGGGTCAGGGTAGACATGTCTTAGATTTCAGGCCAGTACTGGTCTACACAGGGGCAACTGCATGCCAAGGCAGGTAGGGACCCATGCTACTTCAACACTGAAGACTGGACAGCGTCCTAGGGACAGTTTGGCAAAGCCAAGGGAGGGATGGATAACTGTTCTGCCCACCTGATTGTGGCCCATAGAGGCTGATGGCAGAACCCTTTTGGAGGGGACTGACTTTTGGGACCCTGGCCTTGAGGGACTTGGGGCCTGACACCTGCACTTATAGGGTTCGGACCCAAGTTCCAGGAATTACAGACTCTGGATATCACATAAATAACCCTCTGTAGTGCTTCAAATTACAAACATTTTTACACATGGTGTTCTCTCTGCTTCTCAACAACTCAGGAAGATAGACCTGAAAATCCACACTAACAGGTAAGGATCCTCAGAGAGGGTAAAAGTCACATAGCCAGGGAGAGGTTTGAACCAAGACTTAAACAGCTACCTTAGCCATAGCAGATTTATCCACAAAGACAATGACAGTCATGTGGGGCCCTTAGAGTAGTGGGATCCTGTGGGCTGATGGGCCAACACAAAGGAGGAGGCACTTAGGAGTGAGAATGACGTATGTCCCTAGGTGGGCACAATGTGGGGTGGGAGCCCTGGTTAGGCTGGGCAGTACTGAGGGCTTCAAGGAGACATAGGCTGTCAATAAAACATGACCGTCTATTCCTAAAGCCTGAGGTGCCACTCAAGGCCTATCACAATTCATCTATCCAGACTTATTAGGCCAGGTCCCCATCTTTGGGCCAGAGCTCACTCATCTGTTCCCTGACCAAGATATCCCACGCAGGGCTGTGACTTGGGTGAGTCAAGTGAAGATTGTATGTTGTGAAATTTGAAGAGGCACTCTCTCAGGGCTGTGCAAGTGCAGGCTAACACCGGCAGGACCCTAAGACAGAGTCTCTTCTCTTTCACCTCTCTCTCCTGCCTTAGGTCTAAGCTTTGAACTCCCAGACGGAAGAGGCTGTGGCTGCTACTGCCTGGGTGTCCCCAACCCAGCCTCTGGGCAGTGCAGTGCTGTCACTTGGAGCTCAATAAACATTTGGCAGTTGTCAAGTCTCATCTTTCTTCCCTGAGAGAAAAAGGGCCTCTGCTGGGAAAAGCACATGTACGCCACTCGATCTAACCGATGGATCTAATTGGCCAGGGTCTGGACTTCTCATTTGCTAGACATAAGCAAATGAGATGTGGGGGGCCAGGGTAGGGGTGAGAACCCAGTGCCCTTGCAAGATTCAGAAAGTCCAAGCCAGAAGGTAAAGGACATTTAGTCCCACGTATTCTTTTTACATGTGGGGCAACAGAATTGGAGAGTAACAGTGACTTGCCCTTAGGGACAGGACAGGGATACATAACAAGTTCTCCAACGACAACTGTGACTTAATCCTGGAAGCCAAAGCTGCTACTGGATGCGCATCGAGTATATCGACTGTCTACTTATCAGGACTGGAGCAATGAGCAGGATCGATCCATTGCTTTTGACTGCCAGCAAGTGCTGCTCGCCGATTGGTCCGGGTTAAGGAAACAGAAAAAAAAAAAAAAAAAAAGGGCGTGCACGTGGTACCCTCAGTCAGAGACTGGCCCTTGCGGGTGAGAGTGAGGCCGGGGAGCGACCATGGCGTCGCTGAATAGTAGCGCTGTCGTCTGCGTGATTTGCTTGGAGAAACCCAAATACCGCTGCCCCGCCTGCCGCGTGCCCTAGTGAGGGTGGGGGTCGTGGGGGAGGAGGCCGGGTGGGGCCTGCGGGGCGGCTCGGGGACCCGGCGGGGGCTGCGGGAGGGTCCGCGCGGCTTTCCGGGCTGACGCGGTCGTGGTCTCTGTTGTTGCAGCTGCTCCGTGGGATGTTTCCGGAAGCACAAAGGTAAGACCCCGGCGCCCCGCCTGAGCCCCCGGCACTCCCCTAGTGCGGGCAACCCCCGTCAAGCCCTGCCTCGCCCCAGGGGGAACCTCTACCTGTGAATGCTTCCTCGGGTTTCGAACAGTGAAAACTTCTGCTCTGCCTTTTCTTTTATAGACTTTTTTTTTTTTTTTTTTTTTAACAGTGAGTGGACTGCTTTGGCTGTCAGAGTCGACCCTGGTAGTTTCTTCATCTTAGTATTCTGACGCAGAAGCTGCTCTTGCTGAGGTTAACAAGAACGTTTTCTTTCCTTTAAAATGTTTTGTTAGTGGGACGCCTGGGTGGCTCGGTCGGTTAAGCGTCCGACTGCGGCTCAGGTCATGATCTCAGGGTCCGTGAGTTCGAGCCCCGCGTCGGGCTCTGTGCTGACGGCTCAGAGCCTGGAGCCTGTTTCAGATTCTGTGTCTCCCTCTCTCTCTCTGCCCCTCCCTTGTTCATGCTCTGTCTCTGTCTCAAAAGTAAAAATAAAACGTTAAAAAAAATTTTTTTTAAATAAAATCTCCTTTAAAAAAAAATAAAAAAATAAAATGTTTTGTTAGAAACAAGGTAGATCTGTTCACCGTAAAGAGTGATTAGTCTACATTTTAACTCCAATTCGGGGTCTCTTAGCCCTCAGGGACCCTTTGCAACGATCTTATGCTGGGTTGACTCTTTTGTTAAAGTTCCTCATTGGTTTCTTGCCTCTAGTGTCCTCCCTTCCAGACTCGGACTCAGTGGTCCTTTTCAAGCTGCTTCCCTCCCCGTTTTTGTTTTTTACCCCTAATGTCCCTGGAGCATTTTCAAAGGAAACTTTTTGGTTCAAGATAGACAGGAAAGAAGTAGAACTGCTTTGCTGGAAATAGGGTTGTGGAGCCGGGATGGGTAGGCTTTGCTCTGGCTGTGCAGCCCAGGGTGGCCCAAGAACCCCTAAGGCAATCTGAGGTAATCTGGAGCTTTTAACTGCGTGGCCCTGCTGCTGCCAAGGTTTTTCCTGAAGTGCACATTTGAGTAATTCATTCCCTTGAAAACTCCAGCCACTCTAGCAGAGGAAATTAGTTGGTGGTTCTTAACTTGGGTATTGCTCTCCCTAGGGAGATGCACTGTTACAATGTTTCTGTTTCACAGTAGCTGATGAGGGTTGGGGGCACTTCTGGCAATTGGTATTGACTCAGATAAACACCCTGTGGTGTGAGACTCACACCATTTCGGCCCTGAATACCACAGTGCCCTTGATGAGGGAGAGACACTGGTCTTGGGAAGAAAGGCCAATCTTCTGTGTGGCATTCTTTTGTTCTTCCTCCACTTGTGTGGGCCCCAGCCTCCTGCCAGGCCTGCCCTCTCAATCAGCTGGTAGTTGCTTATCACCATGTCCTTGCACCTGACCCTATTCTTTCAGGGGTCTGGTCCAGCCATAGACCTTTCCCTCTGCCAGGAATGCTCTTTCCACCTGGCAGTGCCTCCTCTTTGTCTCCCAGCCCTCTCAGGTGATGTAGATCAGACTCTTCTCCATCTCTCTAGCCACCATCCCTAAGACTCAGCCCATTGAAGTGGGCCTGATGACTTCCATCTGTGTAATCCCAGTGGCACGTGGCACATGCAAATTTGGTATCTGAAACTGCTGAGAAAATAGTTTGGTAATTGAAGTCAGTGTGCCACTTGATCTTGGTGAAAGCCCTGTTAAGTTCAGCAGGGTAAGGAGAATGGGGATGGACCCTCGGGTACATGAGGCCTATTTCCTCCACCCTCTGCCAAGCTCAGGGTTGCTTGTTTTCTGGATACTGCCCTTTGATTTGAACCCTCACTTCCTCTGCATCCATCCGTCTTCATCCCCACCCACATCCCTTACCTGGAACATACCTAGGTGCTGCTGGCTTGGTGGAGAGATGTGGCCTTGTCGTTAAAGTACAAGTGACGTGCATCTGATTTGTGTCTCTTTCAGAGCAGTACAACTCTAAAACTCTTATTGAGAAAAGATCAGCTGTTACTGCAAAAACTATAAAGCCTGCAGAAGACAAAGGTGGATTGGTTGATTTCAAACCAGCCAACCTAGGAAAAGGTTTCAGGTAAAAGAAGCTGAAAGGAAAGAGATGTGGGTTGGGGCAGGGAGTCAGGAATGATGGCACCTTCCTTAGCCTGGAGCACCAAGAGTGGGGCACCTGTTATGTATTATAGAGCAGCCTGAAGTTATTGTTAAGGACAAGAAACAAGGGGGGCAGAGGGGATAAATGCTGTAGCTGTAGTTTGGGAATGAGGGGTGGACCCTGCTGGCAGGATCCTTCTCCAGTCATGGCTTCAGTTCTCCCTCCACGGTCCTGGCTGGAGCTGTCAGTTCACTTGAGCTAGGCTCAGATGGGCGGCTGCCTTTGGCATAGGTCACCTTCCTGCTGCTGGGGGCTCCTTGGGATTTATTGGGAGAGTGGGCTGTCATCTCATCCATCTATCCAGACTTCAGTATCTCCTGGGTGTCATGCCAGTCTTTGAAAGCAGTCCCTCCTGGTGCCTGAATATTCACAGCATGGGGATAGCCTGTTTCTGCCCTTTGAGAAATTTCTTTGTTGGGTTCAGGCAGTGCCAGAAATTTCTGGCCATGCTGAAAGCACAGGGCATTCATGTTAGCAGGTTTTTATAGAACACCTAGTTTTTTGGCCCCTGACAAGGCTGGAGCCATAGTGAGGGGAACTGGGGTGATAGGAATTAGAAAATCAGGCTCCTGGCCTAAAGAACACAGAAACATGTAGAACAATATGTAAATACTAGGATGTATTTATTAAAGTCACTAATTCTTTGCTTTCACTTTCATTCCCTTTCTAAAAAGAGGAATGTTGGTACAGTTATAAATTCCAGAAAAAATTACTTTTGTTTTGTCTACACCTACTTACTCTTGTCACTTGTGTGCACATTTTTAATCTACTGCAGTAGTTGTTAAAATCTGGCATCTAGGTTTTGTTTCTAGTCCTAATTAGTTGTGTTCTGTATTCCTTAGATGATGATGACTCTATAGATGATTTTCTCAATAGTGATGAGGAAAAGGACAGTTTCTTTGCAGAATTTCAAGAATTTAGGTAAGTCTGTGCTGTGTTTACTTCTTTGTCAACCACTGATATATTTAATCCAATGTGTAGAATGTGATTTTGTTATTAATAAGTAGTTGATCCTTGAACTGTGCAGGGGTTGCATGCCCCCCTCCCCCCCAACTATCATGCAGTTGAAAATCTATATAACTTTTGACTCTCCCAGAATTTAACTACTAATAGCCTAGTGTTGACTGGAAGCCTTACCAATAACATAGTTGATTAACACATTTTGTATATGTATTATATGCTGTCTTCTTACAATAAATAGGAAAAGGAAATGTTAAGAAAATCATAAGGAAGAGAATACACTTACAGCACTGTATTTATGGAGAAAAAAATCTGTATAAGTGGGCCTGTGCAGTTCAAGCCTGTTGTTCAGGGTCAGCTGCACTTGAGTATGGCATGCAGAGCCCTTCAGTTGCATGATTCTGTGAATATTTACTCAGGGCTTCAACACCTCCCAGCCTGCCTACAACTCTCTTGCCCTGGAATCCTACTGGGTTTGTGGGTTAGCAAAATTCTCCTCCTTCAAGCCTTGGTTCAGGTTACCCTTCCTTATCTAAACTTCACTTTTTGTCTTTCTCAGAAGTAAGCATTTTTTCACCTTTCCATGGGGACTTGTAATGTACCACTTATTTTTTTTTTTTTTAATTTTTTTTTTCAACGTTTATTTATTTTTGCGACAGAGAGAGACAGAGCATGAACGGGGGAGGGGCAGAGAGAGAGGGAGACACAGAATCGGAAACAGGCTCCAGGCTCTGAGCCATCAGCCCAGAGCCCGACGCGGGGCTCGAACTCACGGACCGCGAGATCGTGACCTGGCTGAAGTCGGACGCTTAACCGACTGCGCCACCCAGGCGCCCCTGTACCACTTATTTTATAGTAATTTCTCTCTCCCACACTAATTTGTAGGGCAAGGGCCTGCATTTATTCCCATGTCCCCAGTGCTCCGTATATAGTCTAGCCATTAATGTGGACAGGGCAATCCCAGGATCTGGTTTTTCAGAGGGATGTGAGTGTTAACAGTGCCCAGCATTTGTGTAGGACTGTGCGGTCAGCCCTTCTAGCAGTTCTGTGTGTGATTAGTGGGCCAGTGTAATTCCTAAAGATAGATGGGAGTTTCATTGTTCTCATCGTAGGCTGACTCTGCTTGGCACCCACTCCCATGGTAGTGATTAGTTATACTGAGGGTGAAGCGGAGATATGAGAGTAGATATGAAAAGTTGTGTAAACTGCAAAAACACGCAGATATGAGTGTCCGTTCATTGCTACTGATCCTGCTTTGTGAGGATCAAGCACTTGCTTAAACAACATTCAGGGTATGTAGTGTAACTGTCCTTACCCAGTGAGAACCTTCAGGCCTATGAAGAACAAAAACATGCCAACAGCTTAATGCTATTGTTTTCTGTATTTATCCCAGTAAGCTATTTTTTCCTAGTTGAAATGGCCTAAAGTTAAACTATTTACAGAGATGTCATGAACAAGAATCTGTGATGGCGTTTAACTTGGAAATCGTCTGATAGGCTGATCTCACCTTATTTATGTGAAGCATTGGTTCAGTTCTTGGTTTTAAAGGTTAAAGGGATACAGTTTTTGATATTTATTACATTACATACATTTAGCTTTTAACTATCTCCATCTGTTCCACTGAACTCACATTGGCTTTCTTGTTCATTTTTAAGGGGAGTCTGCAGCATTAAGAAGCCTACTGTTCAGGGGTGCCTGGGTGGTTCAGTCGGTTAAGTGTAAGTGTCCGACTTCGACTCAGGTCATGATCTCGCAGTTTGTGAGTTCAAGCCCCACATCGGGCTCTGTGCTGACACCTCAGAGCCTGGAGCCTGCTTCAGATTCTGTGTCTCCTTCTCTCTCTGCCCCTCCCCCACTTGTGCTCTGTCTCTATCAAAAATAAATGTAAAAAAGAAGCCTACTGTTCAGTCCACACCTTAGACAGTTGATGGTCAGCCTCAATCAGGGGGACAAGGCAAAGCTCATGAGGGTCTACATGCAGGAGCCCTTGTTTGTGGAGTTTGCTGACTGCTGTTTATGGATTGTGGAACCATCCCAGGATAAGGATTCTTAAGATAGATTATTGTGTTGCTTGCTCAATCATGTGCATAGCACTCAGAACCTGCCCACTCCTCCTCCCAGGAGAACAGCTAGTGTGGGGCCCTGAGCAGGAGTGTGACTTCCAGGGTATAGGCCAACTGACCTAGAGTAGGCTGCACAAGTCTTTATCTCAAGTCCCATGGGCGTGGATTTCAGATAAGATGTGGATACTCAACATGGCAAACCCTTTATGGAGAGAGAACTTGACATTTAGGTGGTTGTCTTTAAATGTTTTAATTTGGGTACAGGTTAGACATCACATACGATACTGTTTGTCAAGTTTTATACCCATTTGAGTTAAAACTTGCTCACTGTTGCTAAATAAAATCAAGATATGGTTATTCTCTGGTAAATTGCATTGTTCATCCTTAGGTCATAAATGCTTGAAATTACATTAAATAAACCAACATACTAAATAAGGTTTTGTTCTTTTTAAAGGAACTAAATGCAAATAACCCAGTCGAAATTTTGGGGTTAACTTCAAGCTGACATGGCCTGTTCTGTTTGCAGGGAATCGCAAGTGCCCCGGTGCAGTGATGAACCACACCAGTGAGTCGGATCTATGAAGGTAGTAAAATGTGGAAAGTTCTCTGTGGCCCTGAGGTTTCTTAGTCCTGGTTTGGTAATCAACACATGACACCTGTCAGGGCTTGAGATGTAGATGGGAGCCCCATGTCACTGGTGGCTGTGGCAGCTCTAGGTTGCGGGCGGGAGCTGTCACTTGTTCACGTGTACTTAATGTTACTGTGGGAGTAGTTTGGCAGCTTAGTGTTGATCGAATGTCTTTGGCAAGGCAGCTGGCAGGAAAAGGCCTTTTGGACACAAAGGCACTGAAGGATTGCTCAGCCTAGTGAGGCTAGGATGTCAGAATAACTCACATGTGGCCCAGGCTGTGTCTTTCCAGCAGAATCTGATTAAAGCCAGTAACACTGTGGAGTGAAGGTTCAGGGCAGATGTCAGCATAAGGCAGTGGAGACTTCCTGCAGTGGAACTTGATCGAGCCCTAGGGAGAGAGATACAGCTTACCTCTGGTTCCTAGGAGTGCCAGCTGTACGGGTGCCTAGAGCAAATGCTAGAAATGCAGGTATGGACAAGTACTGGTATCATTCAGTTAACGTTCTTTTCTCATTCTAAACCAGTGGCAAAGTCCAGAGTCCAAATATTTAATTTTATATTAAAATACAGAATTTCACATCCATTCTGTGTGATGCACAAGGGAGCTTTCCCCTACAAGGAGTATTTATTAACTGTCATGCTCGTAAAACTGTTTACAACTGGAAGAGCAAACAGTTACACTTCTGTTTATACTCTGGCTAGCCTGCATGCTGTCATGGGAGATTTCATCCAGATTATGCCCTAGAGTAATTCCTCTGGTATGGAAATTCACTGTTTCCTTCTGTTTGCCTTGTCAGTGTCACTTAATCCTTGCTGTGACCCCATGTAATAGGTGAGTATTAGCCCATGTTCTACGCTGGCTGACTTTTACTCTGGCTGCCCATACTATAGAAACAGAGCTCTTGGACCACTGATTTACCTGCTTGTCATTTGCTCTGCTGGAACAGGAGATAAACCAAATGATAATTTGACAAAAGTGTTAAACCCGGTGCTATTTGAGGGAATAAGCTATCATCATAACCCAAATTTTTAAAAAGTGGGACTAATTAAGTGGAGATTCAGAGGAGATGCTAGAACACTCAGAGGCAGTTTTTAAAAAGTTGAAAGGGCTCTGGAAAATTCCTAGTTGTAATGATGGTAACAACCCGCCTGCAGCCAGCTGGGAAGCGCAGGCTTCTGGTTTCCTGAGCAGCATCAGGATGGCTCTGGTCCTAACATTAGTCCTGTTCCCACTGGGGACTCATGGGCTTTGCCTCCTGCTTTCTACAAGGGACCCAGAGCCATGGTGGACAGGACCACCATCCTGTCACACAGCTTACCTGAGGCAGTGCTCGGATGGATGTGACACCAGCTTGTTGTGCCGTCTGGACTGCGTAGCTACTGGGGTTGCCCATGGGGAGCTGGAGGCAGGCCCAAACCACCAGCTTCCTCTGAAAGCCACGTACACCCACAGCTGCATTGGCCAAGACCAGGCCCAGGGGCCAGAGGCGGATTATTGCTTCCAGGAGGCTGGTCTGTGCCTGGGGCAGCAGGAGGGAGCCCAAGGGAAGGGGAACTTGAGACACGTGTTTTTCTTGCACACCATCCAGTTCTTTAGAAGCAAGGAAGGCCATTCTGATCTTAAAAAAAGAATGCCACTTTATAGCTTTCAATTGATTAGCTCTCTTAAGGAAAACCAAAACTATCTTTAATAAAACAGCTTAACAAGGTAAACTGAAGGGCACCTGGCTGGTAAACAGCTAGATACCTTCAACTAGACTGGCACCATGTGGCAGAACTTTACATCCAAGGCAGATGTACTTGGGTCTTACATGTGCTACTTTAAAAATAATAACCTTAAGATCTAATTGATACGCCACAAAATTCACCCTGCAGTGTCGGGTGGTATTTTATACAAGAGAGCATACCAGTGTGCAGTGGCAGGGTCAGCATTCCACCCTGGGGCCACCTGATACCAGACTACCCACTGCCCGTCCTGACTGCTGGAGTCAGATACTCACCCTCCATTTCTGCCATGTGCGTTTGATGGCTGTGGCAGCTGCGTGCATTCTCTGGATGTGTTTCCGAGCTAACCAGGAACGAATGGCTAAGGTGTTTTCCCAGAAACAAAGAAGTAAATGAAATGTTTAGAACTGTTAGTAGCCTGGCTCTGCAGCAACACCCAATCTGCTGAAGAAGTTTGGAATAGATACTTTTTCAATGAATGGCTACCTTGTGCCACTATGTGGGGTAAGGAGCTAATAAAGAGAATACCTCAAGAAAACCTGGCTCTGAAGAACACCCCTCACACTGTTTAGACTGGGAGAGACCGTACCTGGAAACACAGCTGGGAGGCTTACCTGCCTCAGGCTTTGGCTGGGGCAATGCCCAGGGGAGAAGTGTCTCTTATCTGGGGAGTCTTCAGTTGAATTTGTTTGCTGGCTTTATGAATTCACAAATGGTGACCCCACCATGCACCCACATGTTGGTAAAGGTAATGACTACTGGATGGCAGACTGGTTGGCAATTTTTGTTTCCTTCTCTTGCAATTTCAGCATTTTCTGGTTCTTTATGGTACCATCATATTCAGAAAAAGGACTATTCCATTAAATATTAATATTTGGGTTCTAGAAAACTAAAAAGTTTAAAGACAAATCTAAATCTTGTTATTTCACCAACCCTGACGGTTCTATAATGTTTCCTTATGCAATTGTTTTATGCCTATACACACAGAAACACGCCTGAGGAAGGTGGCATCGCCCTTGACTTGTGGTTTGGCATCCTGGTTTGAACGGAATACTAGAAGTAGTTTTGGTTAAATTTAAAATATTATTCAAGGGGCGCCTGGGTGGCTCAGTCAGTTGGGTGTCCGACTTCGGCTCAGGTCAGGATCTCGTGGTCTCTGAGTTCGAGCCCCGCGTCAGGCTCTGTGCTGACAGCTCAGAGCCTGGAGCCTGTTTCCGATTCTGTGTCTCCCTCTCTCTCTGACCCTCCCCCGTTCATGCTCTGTCTCTCTCTGTCTCAAAAATAAATAAACGTTAAAAAAAAAATCTTAAAAAAATAATAAAATAAAATATTATTCAAAAAGACTTCTTAGCTGGGGCTCCTGGGTGGCTCAGTCTGTTAAGCATCTGACTTCAGTTCAGGTTATGATCTCGTGGTTCATGAGTTTGAGCTCCGCGTCAGGCTCTGGGCTGACAGCTCAGAGCCTAGAGCCTACTTCAGATTCTGTGTTTCCCTCTCTCTCTCTGCCCCTCCCCCACTCATGCTCTGTCTCTCTCTCAAAAATAAAAAACGTTAAAAAAAAAAAAAAAGATTTCTTAGCTGCATTATAAGAGCGGTCCATAATAACAGCTGTCCGATATTTGGGTTGTTATTCTAGTATTTTTATTTTCAAAGTAAGACTGCTGTGAACATGGTTCCTATATCTCTTCCTTTAGTGAATCAAAACTGAAGGTCAGTTTTACCTTCTTACACTCAGCAGGTAATGATTTATCATATAGGCAAAGGAAGACGGCATAAACTGCTCTCTAGGTCTGGGAAAGGGGAATTAAAGGCAAATTTTTAGCCTCTGCTGCCTACAGAGCACCCCACCCTTATTTGTGGTGTGACCTGGCTTCCATTAAACTGGAGAGACACTCTGGGTGAGGTGAATCAGGATTCAAGTCCCAGGGTACCATAGGCTTGTGCTGTCAAGGTCTTGACGCTGGGACACAGCTTTAGTATATGGGGGTTCAAGCAGCAGCATTTCAAAGGAAACCTGTAGTGTGCAAGGTCTGCAGCAGCTGACAGGGACTGCATCCAGGTCCGTCTGCTGGCCTGGAACCGTGGCTGTGTGCCCAAGAGCCCCACCCCTCCTACCTGCCTGGATGAGCGTGGCGGCCTGCCTCTGCCTCTCCTGCTTGCGGTGCCGGTGTCGCCTCCAGCTTCCCTGGATGCAGCAGGCACACTGCTCTAGCACCTGGGCACGCCCACATTCCAGAAGCTCCAACTGAGAGGAGGGGTATCCACTGAAGTCTGCAGCCTCTCCTCCCACTGCCCTGAGGTGAACCCACACTCTGTCCTGCTAAGCAGAGCACTCAGCTAGTGAACTACCCTCCTCATCACAAACCAGCTTACCATGGAGTCAGTCATAAACACTTTGGTCCTGCCACAATGCACTGGGACTGGTGTGGCCTCGGCTGCGTCACCAGGTGTGGCTGCTGCCTGAGTTAGAGCTGGAAGAGTATGGAGGATGTCCTGGAGAAGAGGTTGCAGTGTGGCTCCCTTGGTATGTGGAGACCATTCTATGGGATGGGAGACAGAGGTCTCATCAGCTCTTGGTCATCTACACGCTTCTGTGGACTTAAGAAACTGGTTCTGGTCTCCCCCCATACTCCATAGGCTTCTTTGCTGCTGTTCTTGCCTCTAACCACTTCCATTTTTTGGGGGGGCAGAGGTGACCCCTCTGTTGTTCTTCAGGCCCCTGGCTATTCTGAGGAATACCGGAAACCCCACTTGTGGCTGGCCCACAGCCTCCATTTCTGTGGGTCCCCCAGGCAAGCTGGCAAAGGGCAGCTGGTGCCTGGATTTCAACCTCCAACCAGCCAGCATCTGTTCCAAGGCCCCAAATATGCCGAGGGCCAAGCAGGGCAGGTGGACCACTCCCTAAGCCCCTCACCCCTTAACTCCCTGCCATGTATGGGAAAAGGGAGAACACCTCCCAGTCCCAGGGAGGCCCAGCAGGTCCCCATGTCACATTGTGCATAGCTGGCTCTTGCAGAAGGAGGATTTACCTGAGGGCTCTGACCACCTTTTGCTGCCCAGTGCCTCTCTGGAGACAGAGGCTGCCAAAGAAGACGCCGCAGACGAGAAATCCCAAAATCAACCAGGGGCGAATGGGGCTTTGGGCACAAGACACAGAGCAGTAGAGCAAATCATGAGAGAAGGAAAGAGGTGGAGAAAAAGAATGAAAGGAAAGTGATAAAACTAAGCCCAAGAGAGGAAGGAAATCAGGACTGTCCCAGGCCTGACAAGCCCCAAGGTAAGGCTGTGTGGGTGCAAGCAGATGCTGCTGGGCTAGGGTCCTACTGGGCATTGGTCTCATACTCTGTCCTTGGCCTCTTCCTCCTCCACCTATGCCAGGGTCTTACCCTACATGCTGACAACCCCCAAACTGGGGCCAAGGTCCAGACCTTTCCTTTGATATTAGGGCTTGCTGAGTGCCTGGCAGACATTTCCACTGGATGACTGTAGGGACCTGGAGCTCAAGTCAGTCCTGCAGAGCTCAGCAGCTACCCCCAAGCCTCTCTACCTTCTCTCAACTCTAGTCAACCTAACAACCTCACTCCCAAGGCCTGCCATGGGCCCCCTAACAGTGGTCTCCAGAAAGCATATGGCTGACATCACTCCCTTCCTCCTCTGAGATGTCCTCATCTGCCCAGAGAACAGAGCTCTGCTCCTGTGACATGGCCTGCCTGTTACCCCAGTCTCACCTCCAACTGTTCTCTGCCTTTACAAGTTCTACACACACAGTGTTGTCTCCTGCCTGCAGGCCTCTGTTCAACTACCTGTCCCGTGGAATGCCCTTCACTTGACTAATACCACTGGTCTTCAAACACCACTTCCTCCAGGAAGCCTTCCCTGATTCATACCTCCCCAGCACTACCCACAGCATTCTGTTCCTAGCTCTGCCTATCATCTTTCTCCACTGTCTTCTTTTAGTCTGTTTCCCCCAGTGAACCAAGAACCTCGAGGACAGGTGCTCAGTAAACTGTGCTTGAACAAATGACTAGCAAATGGGCCCCACTCACCTGAATGTCTTTCATCAGGAGATGGGCTATGGGATCCAGGGGATGTGCGAGTACAGAGCCTTCTCAGTAATTCATATCGTTCCACGAAGTTCTGGTGAGGGATTCTAGAAGCCAGAGCAGGCAGAAGAAAACAATGAAGTGACAGCTGTGAGCCTGGGACAGCACTTGGGGCTAACGGGAGTTACTCTATTTAATCTACTCAACAACCGAGCGAGGTGCTACCATGACTGCCCACTGAATGGATGAGGTTGTGGTTGTGGAGAGACTACACAGTGGAGACCATTTTAAACTGGACCTGCTCTTCTACAGCCTTGGTCTACCTAAACAAAGCTTCTCACTCTTTTAGTAGGGGATTTTTGGCCTGCCTCCTTCCAAACGGGCTTGCTGGCTCCTCCCCAACTGGATCACTCATACAGTCAGCCACATCTGTTGCTTCTCTGACTCCACAGCATCCCCTGCTTCCTCCTGATTTTTCTGCTCCCCTTCACCTCAACACTTAAACAGCCGATGACACCCTGTATGTATTTATACCTCCTCCTCCCGAGTCTGGCTTCTGTCCCCAACACTGTTCCAGTGTGGCTCTTGTTGCAGCCATCAGCAAACACCATGCTACCAAATCCAGCAACTGGCTCTGGCAGGTGCCCGGCTGACCCCTGTCCCCATACAGCTCTCTCAGCCCCCAGGACCCCTGTGAGCTTGGCTTCCTCCTTCACCCACAACTCCCAAGTTGCTGGTGCTGGTTTCTCGTCATCTACCTACCCACTCTCTAAATGTGAATGTTGCTCAGCGAATGGCTTCAGACCCCTCTTCTCTCCCCACTGTGATTTCCTCCTTGCTCATGGTGTTACAACCCACCAAGGACAGATCCTCATGTACCCTCCAGTTCCTAAAGCTCTGGGCCCCAAGCCTGTCTTATAACCACTGCAAACCTGACAAGGCCACATTCCTGACTCCCCTCCTATCCCACCTCCAGCCTGTGCCTTCCCCAGACATCCTATCTCAGGGACAGGATTTCCTGATTCATCCACTTGCCTCGGATAGAAGCCTGCGAGTTATGTGTGCAACCTAGAAGCTGACTGCTCCCCTGCCCACATCCCATGATCAATCACCCTACAGTCCTGATTCTATCACAAACCACAGTCCAATTTAACCCATGTCTCTCCATTTTTCATGGTTGCCACCCTCTTGTGGCCACCATCTTGCCTATACACCTGCGCAATAGCCTCCTCACGCATCTTCTCCCTTCTCTTCTGACCCTGTGTCCAACATCCACACGGTAGCCACAGAACATGAATGAGAGCACAGCACTCTCTCCTCACAATGTCCAGCAGCTTCCCAGCCCTCTGGAAAAACTGCCAAGTCCTCATGGGACTTCTGAGGCCCCTCTCCCCCCATTTCTCTATGTGCAGGCACTTTAGCATCTCGGTTCCTAAGCTGGAGCTTTGTGCTTGCTGTTTCCTCCCCCAAATCTTCCCAGGTTGGCCCCTTCCCTCCCCAGAGGCCTGAGCTGCTTAGAGGGGTCCATCCCCAACCAGCCCAAAGATCCTCTTCCCCATTAGTCTACCTAGCAGCACTTTGTCTCTTTCCTAGCACTGATTAACTTAATACTTCTTGTTCTTGACTCCACAGGAATGTAAGCCCCAAGAGGCAGAGGCTCACCTTCCTTATTCACTGATGCTAGCAACAGTGCCTGGTGCAAAACAGTACACAGAAAGGGAATGGATAAATGAACAAGTGAAATCTCTTGAGTTCCAGGTTGACTTCTGCAGACCTGCCTCTTTCTCTTCACCTCCACATCCTGCTCTGGGCTGGGCAGGTCTTGTCATGCCAGAGTCCCAAGCTCCACCCCAACACTGGCCCTGCCCACTGTGGGGCCTGGCCCACTTACCGGATGGGGAAGCCAGCGGCACTGATGTGAATGGTCTCCACAAGGCCACAGGCCTCCAGCTGACTGAGGACCTGCATTGGTGAGGAGACAGGGTGGGCACCTGTGGTGTGGGACCAGCAGACCAGAAATACCACTCCTTCTGCCCTCTGAGGCTCTGGTCCGTGTGAACCTGCAGGCTGTCCTCATGCTTGACTGATGAGGGTATACTCTCCTGCTTCTGATACTGTGGAGGTAAGTGCTGGTCCTACTTCTGTCTCACCACTCCCAGCTGTGCAGAGACTCTGCCTTATGATGCAGCCTAACCCAATTTGTTTATTTATTTTTATATTTTGTGGGCAGTGGGGTAAATCATAGCTGAGGAGCAAGAGAGGTTAAATTGTAAAGATTAATTGGGACCTTAGTGGAGAAATCCTGGCCGTAAACCCTAAGGCCAGTTGACTGTGGGACACTCTCCAGCATCCAGCACTCATGCCTCATCCCCATCAGAGCCCAGTACCCTGAACAAAGGGCAGCTGCTGGCCATCAACTTTTGTGCAAATTAGAAAAAAACTCTACCTCTGGTCAGAAGTGGCCACAGACTGCAAGATGATTCAGACCCTTCAGCTAATCACCCAATCCTCCGGGCAGCTTCAGTCTCATCAGGGCACATGGACTGGTGAGCAGAATGTAAGATGCAGTGGAGGCTTCCTGGCTAGCTCACTGTGCCATGCACAGACCAGAAGAACATACGTGACTGCCCTGCCAAAGCAGGGGTGCAAGATGCCCTAGTGTCAAACTCAACCCAAGAGACTCGCTCTGGTCACTCCACTTGGAGCCGAAGTTCTGCCTTTCGTCCCTTCAGGGCCTTGGCCAGATAGGGCTCCCTACAAAGCAGCTCTGGCCCAGTGAATTACCTCCTCCTGGAGAAAGGTGTGCGCCTGGCCCTGGCTGTTGGGCTTGATGCAGCGAATGTAGTGGGGCGTGGTGCTATGCAGAACCTGCAGAAGCTGCTCCAGGGAGGCCTGCAGCGGGGAGAATGAGGAGCCAGACAGATTGAGGCTGCCTGTGGGCATCAGTGGGGCCCTGGTTAGTGACTGCATCAAACATCCCCTGGCAGTCTTCACAGCCCTGAGACGGATATCCTCCCAGGCCCTGGGATGATTATGGGAGGTGCTCACTGAGTCCATGCGCCCTCCTTGCCTGAGCTCCCAATGCCCCTCACCTCCACTTCTAGGAACCTTCCTGACCTGTGATCTGTACCTGGTTGGTCTCCACTCCCCACACCTCCCCCCCACCCCCCCCACCCCGCTCACCAGAACAATCTTCCTGGAAGAGAACAATCTCAGAAGCCATTCATTCAGGCAACAATTGTTCTCATTAAGCCCAGACATAGGCTGCTGCTCAGAGCCCAGGGTCTGATGGGGTCACACGAATGTGTGTTGTGCACCCCCTCAGTAGCGTGTCTGAGGCTAGGCAGGAAAGAGCTAACCAAACCTGGGCTCCACCAAGTGGTTCCACTAGGAGGTAATGATTAGGCTGAAATTTGAAGGACTAGAAGGAATCAACTAAGACAGGAGGTGTGGAGGGTGGGAGTCTGGGATGGGGCTGGGGATGGGGTGGGGAGTGGTACAGGCAAGGGAGGGGCATCCCAGGAAGGTGGAGCAGAATGTCAAGGGTTGAGGGCAGAAAGCATAAGGTGCTGGAGGAGGTTGACAAATCTGCAAGCCAAGGACAGGGCTTGAGCAGGAAGCTGGAGAGCTAGGAATGGACTGGGACACAGAGGTTCATGTAACTATTGTTCCTCCATGACCACCCTATCGGCCGTGGGTGAGAGGCCCACTGTGCCACCCATTAAGCCCCTAGGCTTCCTGTCATGTCAGTTATGTCTATTTGTTGGTTTTCTGTTTTGGTCTTCCTCATGAGGCTACCAACTCCGTGCAGACTAGGACCATGTCTACTCACTTGTCAACGTTCCCCAGCAAACCACCAATCCTGGGAGGTGCATGGTAAATATTTGAGATTGATGAGTGAATCAAGCACATTCTATCAGCACCCCCAGGACCCACCTTGAACTTGGACACCACAGTCAAAACAGGGGCTCTGCTCTGGCCAGAGGGCTCTTCCTGGGACTTCTCTTCAGGGTCCATAGGAAATAGCACCTTGAGTAGGGGGTCCTGGGATTGCTGTAGGAGCCTGGTCAGCTCAGGGGGGACAGGGTCCTATTAGGAAAGGACAAGGTCAGCAGGTAAGGGCAGGTGGAGTGCTACCAGGGTTGTCCCCAGGTTTGCCAGCCCTGCTCACCCAAGCCCCAGAAGAAGGGATTCTACGGGAGACCCACTGTGACATGGGTCATTTCTGGACAGCTTATGCCTGATTAGCAGAGATGTCAGGCAGGTAGGCCAAAGAGGTGACTTGGATTCTGGGAGGATATTCAGGAGAGAGAGAATGCAAGACAAGAATCTTCCATGTATATGCAGCAATGACTCAACACCTCATTTCACGCAGGCCCCCACAGGCCGTGGCCCAGCCCCCACCTTGTTCTTCTCCACCAGACCTGCCGTGTGGTACTGCACAGGCCCTGCATAATGCACCACGATGAAGCTGGGCTCCCGGCTGAGCTTGTTGTGGCCCAGGCAGGGACTGCCTGCCAGGGCACTCTCGATGCGTGTCTGGAGCTGGGCTGCACTGCTTGGCCGATTAAGGCGGCATTCCTGCATGGGATGCAATGGACACTCAGCCACAAATATGAGACAGGCTCGCCACAACCATCATGGATCCCCCCCGCCCCCCACCAGCAGCATAGCTGTCACATAGGCATCATAGTGACCCTGAGAGGGAAGGAACATAGGGATTAGCAAACCCATTTGGCAGATGGGAAGAGAGAGACACAGAGAGGGCCTAGTATGGTCTCTGAGGCCCCAGAAAAGCCCAGAGACCAACTCTGGTGCTTAGCATACTAGTTGACCCTACCTCATTTATGAGGGAGCAGATACTGATGGGGCTTCCCTCAATGAGATCCAAACAGGCCTGGTTGTCCTGGTAGTTGACAAAGGACCAGTCCAGGCCCTCAACTGCATATTCCTCCTAGGGGACCAAAGGTGGCAGTTGGGTGGCAGGAGAAAGCATCTGTGATCTGAGGCCCAGATAGGTCATCCATGGCTGGCCTCAGTACCACAGGATATTCCAGAACAGCATCAAATAAGGCACTAAAGGCTCTGGGTCAGACCCTGGAAGGAGCACTCCACTTCTCACCTGCTGAGCCCTCAGGTAGTGAGCCACAAAGTGCTGTTGTAGCTTCTCGTTGGCATAGTTGATGCACAACTGTTCCAGACTGTTATTGGGAAATGATTCAAATCCATATACATCCAGCAGGCCTGAGAGGATGGGGCAGAACCCATGGGGCCACTGCAGGGAGCAGGGGCAGGGGTACTACAGGAGTCCAGGGTGAAACCTCATACTTGGTACCCTGGAGAGGTTGAATGAGCAGGACACCCAGCAGTGGGCACAGTAAACACAATGCCCTGGGGTGGGTCGCATCTCCACTTCATGGCCCCTCAGAATTCAAAGCAGGAAGAAAGGCTGAATAAGGTGTGAGGGGCAGCCTAGGGAACATTTCGTGTCCAATCCAATTTAGAGGGCTTTGATCTCACCAGCCCTGTTGGTATCTAGAATTCCACTGTCTCTTGAGCAAACCTCACATCTTTGAGCTTTACTTCCTCCTCCACCTGACTACCCCACCCCAGTTCCAACCATGTTACCATGTCCCCCAAAATCCCTTCTAATCTAGCCATTGTGCCCATCCCCTCACAGTTCTCCTGAGGCTGGAGCTGTTTCAGGGGAGAGGAGGGGCCCTCACAGACAAAACACCATCTGAGTCTGCCTGGAGAGCTACAGATGGCTCAGATGTGGGCACCGAGAACACAGAGACACCCTTGCCCAGACACTGGTGGACAATGAGGAGATGGGGGTGCAGAGAAGGGAAAAGAGCTGCCTGGAGTTGCACACTGGACTGGACTGTTTTTTCGAAGGAGTGCTCCTGAAAGGGTGAGCCCCTGCTACCTATGAAAGTGGTCCAGGAGTCAGGGTCTGCACAGATGCTGCTATTGATCACGGATACCAGCCAGTCAAACAGCCTGTTGGGGTGGGGGTGGAGGGAGAGAGGACTCTGGTGAGAGGTCAGGTAAGCCTGAGGGATAGCAAAACTGCTCCTCCAGCCAGGGTGCCACACTCTGAAGGGCCTGTATTCCCAGCCAGACAGGCCAAAGGATCAAACCCTTTCCTCCCATTTGCTGCCCATCCCATTTTGCCCCACTACGAATGCAGGCTTGTGGTCATGCATGTTCCTAGGATGCACAAACCCGGCCTGTCCTCCCAACAAGACTGAACACACGACCGGTAGACTCTGGGGCTAGACAGGGAATGGGACTCCATCAGTCACTTGGCCGGACACCCAGCTAGTGTCTTAACTGGAAGGGAAGGGGTGAACGGGAAGGCCTAGGTGGAGTTTGCAAAGAACTGAGTTCACTGGACACCCCTGAAAACTGGACCTGTGGCACCTAGAGCTCAAGACCCTGCCACATCCCTTAGTCCTGCATAAGCAGGCCCCGAGTCACCTGAGGCCAAGGGGTACTCTGCACTCTGGAGCACCCCACCCTGAGACGGTGAGGCAGTTACTATGCTGGTGACATGTACAATACTATTAAGGAATTTCTTTCTTATGATTTTTCTTAAAGTGACTGCTCTGCAGTTTATTGCAATTCAGTCAGTTAAGCATTTCTGCTTTTGTACCAGGGGCTCCAGATACCTGTCTGAGGCACTGAAAACAAGTGACCTAGTGTTACAATGATCTGATGTTTATTATGTATGAAGTGCTCTATGGTTAGAGGTTCACACGATCTATGATCATCATATTTTATTTTACCGATTTTACAGTGACTTGACACAGGCTTTAAAAGTCTTTGGCATGAAATTAGCTTCAAGGCAATGGGAAAAGAGTCTCTTCCTGAATTGGGATCCGTCTGAGCCAAGCTGCCCTAGGCAATGTTCAACTCAGCAGATCTTCCCTCAGTAATGCTTCTCAAGCTCTTGACTCTTCAAGTTCATGAACATGGGGGGGGACCCTCTCCCCAGGTGCCCAGGTTCCCATGAGCACACACGCATGCACACGCGCACGCACACACACACACACACATACACATACACACGTGTTCTGACCCATGGTTCTGGAGGATTCTGGGTCCCCTGACTCCTTACTTGGTACCCAAGGCTCCCTTACTTAGAACCCAGGGTGAGAAACCACCCTTAACCACATGGCCAGAATGTGGAGCTGCTCAAATAACCCACCAGGAAAAGGCCAGGACCCCCACCTTCACCCTGTTGTGGACTCCCATTTGCTGCACACTGTGTTGTCTGAGACTGTGGGCCACACTACTGGCCCTACCATCTATCAATTTCCCCAGGTAACATGAAGAGATGAAGTATAAGGTCACGTGGAGATTGAGGACCCTATTCACCCACAGGTCTAAACCTGGAACTCTGAGAATCCCAGATCAGCTTGGAGGCCTGATGTGCCCGTGAAGACCTAAGCAGGCTTTCCTCACCCATGGCCAAGGGCAGGGCAGGCTCCTATACTTTATTAATGAGCTGAATCTAGCCCAGAATGTGGCAACTTCCCCATGCAGAGTACTCTGGAATTAAGGTCAAAGGCCATGCCTGGGGAAAACCCAGAAGCCATTCATTCCCTGCTGTCCATTCATATGCTTTATCTGGAAGCCCTCACCATGGGCCTGGGCCTATTGCATGATGGTGTCTGATCCAACTCCAGAGAGGGGGACAACTTGGAAGGAGGGCAGGGCCCAGAGTGCTTACCGTGCGTAGACTAGTTTGGCCAGACAGTCTCTGCGAGTGTCACACTCGGCTCGGGAGCAGGGCTTCTGGAATACCTGCTGCTGCCTGCCTGCCCTGATGGTTCTAATCTGCAGTGTCTCCAGCAGTGGGTCTTCTGGAAGCTGCAGCAGTGAGGCTGATGTCCTGATAGAGCCTGAGAGGGACAAATCACCCTCCATCCAAAAAGGCCTCTTTACAAGACACTGTGAAGTCACCCAACTGGACAGAATAAACCTAGGTTCTGGTGCATGAGGAGACTTGCCCAAAGCAGAGACTGGACTTGAACCCAGGACTTATATGTCCCGGTCCACACTGCCATATGTGGGGCAAATCACTTTATAAACCCTCTCTTGTTTTCTCACCTGTAAAACAGAGATGATGCTGTTTGCCTCACCAGAGATGGGGTAAGTAGTAACACCTATGGTTTCATCAAGGGCATCCTCACATTCCAAATTTCACCCTCTGGCCTCCCACCAGGTCCCACCAGTGTTGGCCCTTTTCCAGACAGGGCATACCCTGCTCCCCGGGTGTGTGACCAAAGCTGATACACAGACCCCCATCCTTGTTCTCACACTTGGCATCGTCCATCAGCTGGCAGGACTGGGCTTCATCCTTAGAGTCAGCAAACCAGATGTTTCCGAGGTGCAGCAGTCCAGCCAGGACCTGAGCAGACAGGAGACGACATGACAGGAGCACCTTCTCAAGGGCTGAAGCCTAGCCTGGGAGAGGCCCCTCTCCTGATGAATATAATCATGAGGACAAAATAGTAACAGAAATTCCCAATTGATGCCCATGACAGAAATGACACAGGGAAATGTTAAATTACAAACCTATAGGGATTTCTGGCTGGCTCAGAGGAGCATGTGCCTCTTAATCTTGGGGTTGTAAATTCAAGCCCCACGGTGAGTGTAGAGATTACTTAAAAAAATAAAATCTTTAAATCACAAGCCTATAGGCAACAGACGTGGTAAAAGAGAAAGGCAGGATGAGAATCCATGTAGTCTGACTTCAGATGTCTCCCAGGGCAGCCAGTGGGCTCCTATGTCACCCACTGTCTGTCCTTGTGCCTCCCCTCCTCCAGGAGCAAACTGTGAGAACACCACTCCTGTTACTTGTGGACCAGGCTCTTTCTGTGTGGCTGGTGGGGGTTTGGCCCTGGTTCCCTTTGGTCCTTTCTCAGCACTGCTAGGCAGCTGACAGCACAGTCCAGGATAGGATCTGTGATCTTGGTCTCCTAATAGTGGGTGCTCCCTTGCCTGTACACTCACTGATCCATAAGGATGAGTGTCCAGGGGCTATAGAGAGGAGACTCATATGTCCAGCAGCTGGGAAACCCTTAGACTCTTATGGGGAGAGCAGAGCCTCTCCTACCATGCCTGTCTGGTCCCAGGCAGGGTATCTCCACATGATACCAGCTTTCAGGCCACAATCTACCTTGGAAGAAGACTGCTGTGCCCAATGGGTAGAGGGTCATGATACTGTCAAGCCAACACTCCTGTCCAGACCCCTGGTGTTGTCCACTTGTCCTGGGCTTGTTCCCATGTGCTGTCCCTGTGGCCAAACCTGATGGTGCCCATACTGGCCATGATCCCCTCCCTGCCTGAGCTGCCCCAATCCAGAGGTAGAGGTCAGTTTCCACTGTACTGCCATCTCCCTGCAGGGGTTTCTCCGTATCTGCTGCCAGCCTATCCTATGTATCCCCCTCCTGTTGCTCTGGTGGGTGAGGAGGTGATGGCAGAGGGAGGTAGTGAGCCCAGTCAGTAAAGACAGAAGGGAGAAGAGAGGCCACTAGTGGGATGAGAGGCGCCCAGGGCACATGGGTCAGCACTCCATCCAAGAGAAGGGAAAGAAAGCAGAAGTCAGAATTACTATACCTGGTACAAACTGCCCTATGGTGATGTCTGACCTTGGGGAGGTTACTTTACCTCTCTAGTTTTCTCAAGCACAAAATGGGAAAAATCTCCATATACACAGGACTGTTAAAAAAACCAAATAACTAAGAGGTATGAGGATGATTTTAAAATCTGAATACACTGGATGAACATGTGGTGGCATCACTTCTCTATTTTGATCACTGCAGTGATAACTGACCCAGGCACCTCGTCCTGTCCCCCGGGCCACTGTGCTAGATTTTATAATACAGTACTGTGCACTTGATCACTGTCCTCTATGCTCTGTCCACCCTGACTCCCTGTCCAGGCTCAGGTGCACAGAGGACAGTTGACTCCTTAGAAATTACACAGTGGGGCCTAAAGTCCTAGATCCTCAGAGTTCAGAGAAGGGGCCTATGAAAGGGGCTGCCCATCCATCACATCTACCAAACGTAAGAGGTATGCCTTTTCTTCTCACCTGAAAGATGTTGTTCTGAGTGGGGATGTCAATGCCCAAATGAAGCATGGCCTCTCTGGTCACCTGGAAACAATCCTCTGAAAAAGAATCCAAATCACAGCCCAGTGTCAGCACCCGAGGTCAAGAGGGGCTTCAAGGAGTGAAGAAGGCAGGCCCTATGCAGAATGTGAGTGGGTACTGATGGGCTAGCCCAGGGTGCTAGGCAAGACTCCCCCTACCTTCCAAGGTCCTCTCTGGGTTAGGTAGCCAAGAGAAGGATGCTCCCTCGGGGAGGTGCCACTGGAGCCTCTCATCCACGCTGGCTCCTTTACAGATCTGTGGGGAGGGGTGGGAGGGTGGCTGAGGTGGGGGTGTGAGGAAGACCAGGCCTGCATAAGCCTGGGGTTGTGATGAGGAGAAATGCTTCGACATTACAAAGCTGAGACGTCAGGGCACAGAGCCCAGGGCAGGCCCAGGGGCAAAAGCCACAGTAAATATTCTAAATATCTCTGATGCAAAAAAGCCTGCTGAGGCCTGTGGTCTGATGAGGAAAGCACTCCTGTCTAGAGAGCCCCCAGTCCCCATCTGAGAGCAGGGAGAGGTACTGTCCATGTTCTAGGGAACCCCCAGTCTGATGGAAGACACATCAGACACAGTTCTAGGGAAGCCCTCATTCTGTTGGAAACAGTTAGGTGCCATTCTAGGAGTCCTCAGTTTGGTGAGGGTGACACAGTCCCAGTCTCAAGGACCTTTTGGTCTGACAGAGAAAGCAAATGCATCTCCATGTCAAAACCATCCTGGGAGTGGAGGTCCAACGTGAGGCAGAAGTGTTGCATAAAACATCCAGGAATAAGGGGCGGCATCACTGAAAGCCAGGTAATGAGGCAGGCCTGGAGCATAGTGGGGGTGGAGGGGAGGGTTTGGACAGTCAGACCCATCTCCACTCTACATCTGGGCAGCTGTGGGCCCAGCCTGACACAAACCTGGTAGAAGATGTGGAAGTTCCTCTCACTGGAGGCCTGGCAGGTCACTCGAGTTTTCTCTAGGAGGTACGTCTGGACTGCAGCTCCAGTCATCTGCTGGGCACTGGGCATAAGCAGGCCAGAGCCCATTAGTGGTCTGTTCATTCCATAGCCATTTATTAGGTACTATCTTGTCCCAGAATGCAATCTAGCCACTCCCCCCAAAGCTCTTTCACTTAAAGTGGGTGTTGAGGACAAGGACCACTCAGCAGGTCCTTAGCTGTTCTGGAACTTTCCCCTGCGACCAGCTCAGTGGACAGGACCAAGCCCTCTATATGTCATTTTGTCCCATCCCAAACCAAGAACAGAAGCCCCAGTTTCAAGTGTAGGGGTATAGTCCAGAAAGGTGGTAGTTTAACTCAAAGCCCCCGAGCAAGGGTGAAGCCGGGAGGAACTCACAGGCCATGACAAGAATACTGCCTCTGGGTCCCTGAGGCTGGAGTAGCTAGAAGTCTCCAGGTTCAAAGATCACCCTCAGGCTCATTTAGCCCACAAACATTACATGCCAAGAGGAGCAGGGTTCTGCCCATAAGTGTAGCCCAGGCTGGAGACTGCCCCCGTCACTTGCAAACTCCCCACCCCAGTCCTCCCGTCAGCCAGAGTGGCAGCAGCCATTACCTGTTCAGCTGTAGCTGGATGAACTTCCCAAAGCGACTGCTGTTGTTATTCCTCAGTGTGCACGCATTCCCTACAGATCACACCTATGTTTATAACACTCCCCCACGTTTATAGGGTCCTCATGGGCCAA